CTGGAGGTAGTAGGGCAGGGCGTTTCCTTATCTTAAGGCCTTTTGGAGCCAAGATTTGAGCCAATGTGAACTTCTGCCGGCCATGCATGGTACTGGCAGGAGGTGCAGGTCTCCTATACTCCTCCTGCACGAGGACAGAAGCGCCTGACACTGGTTTTCATTATTGTCTTGCAACTTGCCTTAACCTTCCTGCCCAGGCCCATTACACTACTAATCAGGAATAGCCCTGACAGCTTCACACTTGCAATCTGACAATTGCTACGGTCAAACAACACTGTAGTCCAAACTCTTCCAAAAATCGATTTTATCACTTTATCTTCACAACAACTAGAGCTTTCTTTTGGTGGGTATTTAATCACTGCTGGGTGTCATTTTTATTTTTTTGCCAATTAACAAAAAAAGACCATGCTAAAATGTATTCTTTTGAAAAAAAACCCACATTTTTCCTTTTCAGTTGAATTCTGTTATAAAAGTTTACAAAAAATAATTGTTCTTCATAAATTTAGGCCGAGATGTATTCTGCTACATGTCTTTGGTGAAAAATAACCCAATATTAAGGTATGTATTATTTAGTTTTGTAGGAAAGGTTAGTTGAGTTCACAAACTATGGTAAGCTAGATCTGAATATTGATCAATCCTGAAGTACTGACTGGAGCCAATCTAATTTCTTGAGGTCCAAGAAATAGACTGTCAGAACAGACAGAATATCCCCACAAATGACCCTTTTTGCAGAGTAGACAGTCCGACGTACTTCATAAAGAGGCATGGCGAAGTTTTTTGAAGTTGTATTTTATCTTGGTCATAATTTTTTGGAAAATTGAATATTTAGGCCAGATTAAAAAAATTATAAAACACTATTTTTTTTTTACATACTGTCACCAAGTGCAGTACAGCGTCATCATAAGTTTAACTGGCATGGCGGATTAACAGGGACACTGACTGGTGACAGTATGAAAAAAAAAAATATATATATATATATATTTTTTTTATTTTTTTAATTATATTTAATTTTTTATTACATTTTTTTTAAGATTTTATTTTCATATTTTACTATGACCAAAGTAGTACAATGTTACCATAGTAACATTGTACTACTTTGGGGAAGTGATCAGTATTTTTTTTTTTTTTTTTACACAATTTGCTTATAGCAAAGAATTACTTTGCTATAAGCAAGCATTTACCTGAATGAAATCGATTCATTCAGCTTTTTTTTTTTTTTGTGCTTAGCTGTGATTTGGTCACAGCTAATCACATGACATGTGCATGTGATTAGCTGTGTGACCATTCACAGCTAGGCACTAGTATACAATGGATGGCATCATGAATGAAGCCATCCATTGTATACAACTGTCATGTGACCTGCTGTGATTGGTCACAGCAGGTCACATGGTACCAGCAACGGGAGCCGGTACTCGGATCTGTCATCGACCGTGTCCGAGGTGCACGGCCGGTGACAGATCGCACTGCTGCGCCGCTCTGCATTAGCGCAAACTGCGCATGTGCGGGGAGCACGCCAAATGGCGTGCACCCGGAGTGAAGAGACACATCTGAAGCCGCCAAACGGCCATTGGACGGGCGGCTAATGGTTAACGTAGAATAACATGATTAAAGAGAAGGAAGATATTTCATTTTATTGGGAAATTAGAACTAGACATTCCCAATTATTTGAGATATAAGTGTGAAAATGTTTGACATTTGAAAATAGAATGTATGACATTCATTAGGAAGTGCATTAGTTGTCTGATCATTTTGGAGAAACAGCAACCCAAAAAAAAAAAAAAAAAAGTGTACTTTTACTTTAAATTATAAGTATTCTCATATGCAAACACAAAAACGCCAGCGGGACAAAGCCCGTGGTTGTGCGCCACCTAGCGAACATATCCAGTATTGCACCTAAAAATGTGCCAGACGTGATTCCACATTTACTAACAGGAAAGAGTCTACAAAGTAGACGCTTTTCAATGAGTTTGCTAGACGCCATTCAGAAGACGGACAGGTCTTGATTGATTTAATTGAGTCTGCCTGAATGTTCAGTGTCTGCTGGTAGACTCAATTCTTAGTAAATCAGGGCCTATGTGTATGGATATAATTAGAGGAATGTGTTTGCTTGAACAGACTCAGGTAGGTATCTGGGGGACTGGAGATCCAGATTGGGACAAGAATTATATGTATGAAGGGGGTAAGAATTGGGTGAAGTATGCACCAGGCTATAAGACTCGAATTGCAGCAAATGATTCTGCACCACTCCCGCCATACACACACAGCGAGGCACGTCCTGCCCCTACAGCTCCACGTGCAGACCCATTATACCCAGCACTCCCACAGGTAAGTAGATGAAGAGTTTCTGATTGCTGCTTCCTAGACAAATACAGGGAAGTCAAAAGAATCTGGCTCAGATGGGGAAACTGGGAGTGTTAGTCAAAGGGATACTGAGAGGGGTAAAGGGAAAGTAAAGAGAAAGGGACAGAAGGTAGAAAAGAGTGACAGAATTCTTAGGGTAGAAAGTAACAAGGAGGAAGTTAAAGATGAGACAGCTGAGCTAGAGGTGATTAATTCAGCCTTTCCATTCATGATGATTGGGGAGCAGCTGATTTAAAGGCAATAGATCCCAAGGAGCTGGATGCTATAGTACAGAGATGCCTTAATCCGAGGAAATCTCAGGGTGGGGAGGTATCTTGACTAACGAGGACATGTGTAGGAAGGAACTATATGATGGAAGATTGCAGGTTGTTAATTGAGAAAGTATTCAGAGATTTTACAGGAGAGTTTGAATGGGAAAATTGTAGGATTTTTAATAATGAAGATGGCGCTGGTTACAAAAAGTGGGACCCATCACAGGGAGTAGATAAGTATCCTTTACTTACTAGAGCACAATGGGGATGCTGCATGGGAGGAGGTGACATGTGAATTGTTTAGGCTGTACAAACAAAGGAAACCATTTGCTCCAATAGTAGCATGTCGGCAAAACGTCACAGAGACTGCTACTGACTTTATTAAATGGTTTAAAAAAGTTTGGTTGAAGGAAGGGGAATGGATCTGACTGGTAGAGAGTGCGGATCACTTTTTATCCAATCTTGGATGAATGGGGCACTACCACATGTTAGTTTAGCAATTAGACAATTGTGTGATGGTTGTGAAGATAAATCTGCACTAGATTTTAAAAAATGGATTCTTAGCAAAGATGCAGCAGGAATTTTTGAGAAGGGAACAAAGAACCCCAAATTACAGGCACTGGCACATAGGGATGACTGGGAGGAAAGACCCAGGGAGCGGCGTCAGTACCAGCGCCAGGCCCTTTAAATGGGTCCTACAATGTTACAATTGTGGGGAGGAAGGGCATTTCTTTCGGGAGTGTACTGCTCCTGAAGTACAGCTTCTGAGAAGGGAGCCCACAGATGAGGAGAGACAGTTTGATGAGGTGAGAAGGGAACAGGCAGCTGCCAATAGATGAGGTCAGCAACAGTACCTGAGGGACAACGCCCCAGGTACAATGTGGACTAGACTAATAAAATAAATAGGGAGGCCAGGGTCCGCTTGAGCATGCTTTCTCAACAGTGCCTTTGTTTCCATCTTTTAGTTGTTCCAATTCATTTTCAGAAAATCCCATGATTACACTTACAGTGGGGGAAGTCCCCTGCACTTTTATTCTTTGGGGATAGTGAACACAAGGGCCGCTGCCACATCATTAAATACGGAATTTTTAAAACAATGGCCTTGTAAGTATGGGCCCCCCTGGATATTTACTCGAGTAACACTCGATCAATAGGGATCGAGGGAAAGGAAACCCCCACTTGCATTACACCTCCCCTCCCGGTACAAGCAAAAGATGGACAGGTCTAGTACCATAAATTTCATGTGCTCCCGCATTGCCCTGTGTAGCTATTGGGCTGAGATTTGTTAGCTGACCTTAAAGTCGTGATGTGTATCACGGAGGAAGGCATGCAATGGACACACCTTTCCTAAGCTGTCCAGCCATGGATCATTATTTAAATAAGCTCCCTGAAAACCTATAGACTAAGAGCACAACAGATGCAGGCCTCATTGACTGCACACCGTATAAAGCCACCCTTAAAACCAGGAACCCTGTTTATCATAAACATTACCCACTGTCCAAAGATAAAATAGACGGACTTAAACCTATTGTGGAGGATTTTAAAAAGAGGGGAATACTGAAGCCGGTAGTATCCCCCTACAATATCCCCATTAATCTGGTACAAAGGCCCAATGGTGAGTGAAGATTAGTACAAGACCTCAGGGCGATTAATGATCTGGTCGTTGGTATGTCTGTAGTCCCAGACATACCAACCTTGGTAAATGCTATACCAGCCAACGCCACACATTTTACAGTAATTGATCTGTCAAATTGCATTTTTAGTGTCCCAGTTGACCCAGAGACACAGGCAACGTTTTCTTTTTGTTTTCAAGGGGAGAGGCTAACCTGGACCCGTCTCCCTCAGGGTTATGTAGACTCGACGGCAGCATATACCATGGCCAGTAGATCCATGCTCAATGACTGGGAACCCACCCATGGCTCAGTACTTCTCCAATATGTGGATGACTTACTGCTTAGTTCTGTCGGCGAGGAGGCGTGTCAAGCTGATTCATTGTCACGGTTTCTGGCTGATCAGGGACAGAAAGTCTCTCACAAAAAGATGCAATTTGTGGCACCACAAATAGAGTACCTATGTGTCAGGGTCCTGTCCACGTCAGAAGTCCTGGAAGACCTGGCATTTCCACCAGTACCCTACATGGTCGCAGAAATACATGCATCAGGCCCTGTTTTGGCGTCAAACGACTTTTATAAGGAGGCTCTTCACTCCCTGGATGATCTATAGCTCCCCGTACCTTGTTCCTGTCTCCTGTTTTCCAGTTTCCTGTGTTATCGTGACCTGTGACTTCCGGATACCGACTAGGCTTGCTCTTGGACCTGTCTATTCTACTTTACCCCTGATCTGACCTCGGCTTGGCTAACGGATACTCTCTCTCTCGCTCCTTAGTGTATGACCTCGGCTATCCCATTTGACTATGTCTACTCTGATTCCCACCTGGTACCTGACCTTGGCTTGAACCGCTATCCAGCAATCCTCTATTCCCAGAGGGGCTTGCATACCTCGCACAGGCACCATCTGTCTGCAGACCTCATCTCCGTGTATCAGCTGTGCTCCTGGGTGGACCACCAACAAGCACTCCTACAGGCGACCTGAGCAACTTTGGGCCTGAGTTCCACTGTCCCACTCTCAGGGGAGTCTGGAACTTAGCCGCAAGGGAAGCCCTCTCTCCATTGGCCTCCATCACCAGGTACCTGATAGTATCATCCAGCCACTATGTCCGAGGCCGAGAGAGGCACTTCCGCACTAAAATGACCCAGTGCCCTGTGCCAACAGATTGACGGTGCTTACTCAAGCAGTTAAAGATCTACAGCAAGGATACTTCCACCTGGAAGGGCATCTTCACTCCCTCACTACTTCTGCAGACCAGAATCCTTCTGTCAGTTCTAACCCTGTAGCCGCACCTGCCAGTCCATCTCGTGCTACCACTCCTGCTGTGTGTGTTATCATCTCCGGAACTCCTGAACGTTTCCTCAGGAATCAACGGAAATTCAGAGCTTATAAAAATGCTTGTGAACTGTATTTTGCTCTACAACCCAGAACCTTTTCACTGTAAGCGGTCAAGGTTGGGTTCATCATCTCCCTCTTATCTGAAGAACCACAGTCTTGGGAACATAGTCTACTGGAACAAAAGAACCCAGCACTCAACTCAGTTAGTGAATTTTTTGAAGCCATGGCTGCCCTTTATGATGATCCCCAGAGGACCTCCACTGCTGAGTCTGCCCTCCAATGCTCTACAACAAGGTCGGCGGCCTGTGGAGAGGCTACATAGTGGAGTTCCGCAAATGGTCAGCGGATACTGGTTGGAACGACGCAGGATTAAAGTTCCATCTAGACCTGTTCTCGAATCACTCAAGGATGAGTTTAGCTATGGTGGAAGCTCCCTCCTCTTTGGAGAACCTTGTTCTGCTCGCTACCCAGTTGGATCAGCAACTATGGGATGGACGTGCTGCTGTGGCGTACTCCAACCTTTCGAACCACATGGGTTCTGCCAAAGATTCCAGGACCAACAGCTCCTGCCCTAACCCGTAACCCATCAGAACTTCTATGGTAGAACCAATGCAAATTGGCCTTCTCCGACCTGCTTTAACCCCAGAAGAAAGGCTACACAGACAGCAAGGCTATCTATGTCTTTACTGTGAGGCCATGGGCCATTTCTTGCGTAACTGCCCAGTGCGACCAAGTAAGTCCAGACAGCCCCATCCTTTGTACCTTCAGTTATCTGGAACTTTAACCACCCATGTTATTCTCCCCATATAATTGCAGGTGGCTGGAAGGGACGTCCTCAGTTATGGGCAGTCGTTGACTCCGGAACCTGTAGCTGTTTTCTTGGACATCAAACTTGCCAAGGACTTACATATCCCTCTTCTGCCAAAGAAACAGAGACTTGATGTATTACTAGCGGATGGCACTACTCCGAGCTCAGGACCTGTCACCCAGGAAACCATTCCTGTCCTAGCAACAACTGACTCCGGCCATCAGGAGTTCATTCGTTTTGATGTCATCAGATCCCCTATGTTTCCAGCCATCATAGGAATACCCCTGGTTTGCAAGCCCATTACCCACAGATCAATTGGCCCAAGAAAGAAATCATCTCTTCATCAGCATAAGTCTGCAGCACTGTGGTGCCTCTATACCCACCAATTATTTCCGTATGTGTCTCACAGTCCAATCTTCTCCAGAGGCCAGTCAATCAGTTCCCTCTACCTACCATGAATTCCTTGATGTGTTTGATAAAAAGAAGGCCGCCGATCTTACGATTGCCCAAATTGAGTTACTTCCAGGGGCAGAAATACCTATTTCCTGTTGTCCAAGCTTGAACTGGAAGCCCTCTTACATTACTTAGAAGAGAACCTCACCAAGGGATTCATCCGCCCCTCTTCCTCTCTTGCTGTTGAAAAGAAACATCAATCTCTAAGAGAACTTAACAAAATTACCATTAAGAATCGGTATCCTCTTCCTCTTGTGCCCGAGTTGTTTTTTCAAAGGTTCTGAACAGCCCGAGTGTTCACTAAATTGGACTTACGGGGGGCCTACAATTTAGACCGCATAAGAGAAGGCGATGAGTGGAAAACCGCCTTCAGAACACGCTTTGGACATTTTGAGTACCTGGTGATGCTGTTTGGGCTATGTAATGCTCCTGCTACATTTCAACACTTTGTAAACAACATCTTTAGAGAATACCTTGATCTTTTTGTAATTGTCTACTTGGATGATATCCTAATTTTCTCTACCTCACTGGAACTCCATCAAGATCATGTTAAGAAAGTGCTAAACACTCTAAGGATGCATGGCTTGTATGCAAAGGCGGAGAAGTGCGAGTTCGAAAAGCAGTCCATCCAGTTCCTGGGGCTCATAATTTCCACTGAGGGAATCTTCATGGACCCCTCAGAAAGTATCTGCTATCCTGGAATGGCCTGCACCTTCAGACAGGAAAGGGGTCCAAAGATTCGTAGGCTTCGACAATTTCTATCGGAAAGTTTATTAAGGGCTTTTCAACCATCATTGCCCCTATTACTCAACTCACTCGCCAGCATACACGTTTCTGCTGAGCCAGGAAGCACAAATAGCGTTCAAGCGATTAAAAAGTCAGTTCACTTTCGCCTCCTGTGTTACAACATCCAGAACCAACACTTCCCAAGTTCATCCTGGAGGTGGATGCATCTGAGGTTTCAACAGGAGCCATGCTCTCTCAGCACCAGGGCCCAAAGGCTCTGCTTCACCCAATAGCCTTTTGCTCTAGAAAACTGAGTCAAGCCGAAAGGAACTATGATGTGGTGTGATAAGGAACTTCTAGCGATCAAGATAGCCTTTGAATGAATGGAGAGTTACCGCTTGGAAGGAGCTAGCCACCCAATTATCATTTTCACGGATCATTAAAAATCTGGAATAAGAGATTTAGTTATCCAACATAACCCACCACAAATTTTATCCAGGATTATCAAGAATGGGAAGCCAAGATGTTCTTGTCCCGTATGTTCGTCCCAGAACCCATTGGAGCCTTCTCCCCCCAACACCATCTTGTCAGCCAATACAACTTTTTTTGCTGATTCAACCCAGCCTAAAGTCCTCAATCAAGCAAGCCTCTACATGCACTATGTTCTGAACCCAAACAAGACTCGTTAAGAAGGCAGGATGGTCTTCTTTAGGCACCATGATAAGATCTTTGTACCACCAAGAGGGAGTAAGATCTCAAGTTTTCAGGACTTTCCATGATGATCATCAAAACTGGCTCGGACATAACTTTTGAAACCCGTAAAACAATGAGGAACTGATCCAGCGATCCTTTTGATAGCCCAAACTTGAATCAAGGACTGTAGAGCCTATGTGAAAATCTGTGTTGCGTAAGCAAGTGGAGACAAAACCAAGGGGGCTTCGGGGTTACTGAGGCCCCTGCCGTAATTCCTGAAACGTCGTCCTTGGGAGATGGTCACAATGGACTTTATTGTGACTTTGCTGCCCTCTGAGGGGGTTTACTACCATTCTAGTAGCAGTGGATTGGCTATCCAAGATGGCCCAAACTTCTTACCAATGGTGGGTACTCGACATCTGCGCCAGAAAACTGCAACTTACCTTCATTAAGGAATTGTTACGTTACATGGTGCTGCCTCAGTAATATTGTCCCAACGAGGGGTGCAGTTTTACTTCTAGGTTCTGGAGAGCCCTCTGCAACGGCCCTTGAAGTATACGGAACTTGTGAGCGACTATCGTCCCCGCCTACCATCTCCTCAGAGTAACGGGCACACAGACCAAAACAAACCAGACTTTGGAGCAATACTTACAGTGCTATCTCTGCTTTTTCCCAGGATGATTGAGCATCCCTACTCCCATTGGCGGAGTTATGCCTACACAACTCAATCCATTCAGCTATGAACCAGTCACCATTTTGGGCCAATTACGGATTCCACCCTTCCTGCATACCGGACACCATACCTGAAGCTTCAGTACCGGCAGTAACAAGACAGACTCTCCATGATATAAAAACAACTATATGAGTTCTCCAATAGTCTATACAGAAATCCCAGCTGACTATAAGAATCACTATTGACAGGATAAACAGAGATGAAACCCTTCTATGAAGATCGGAGACAAAGTTTGTGCAGTCAACTGAGTGCCAACCAAAAACTCCCTTGCCTATCATTGAAAGTTTTGGGACCCCAAGGTACATTGGCCCTTTCCGAATCAAGAGGGAAATTAATCCCCCCCGTGGCGTAAATGAGCTGATTTCTTCCTGAAAACATACAAGAATTCATCCAGTTTTCCAAAAATGACTCCTAAATACTCAAGCCAGCATGTTTCCTGATCCCATTTCCAGGGAGAGTGTAGAACCACCTCCTCTACCGATAACATTTGGGGAAGAGGTAGAATACAAGGTTCTGAAGCAATTCTGACTGCAGAAGGTGGGGAAGACATAATCCACGTACTTGGTCAGATGGAAGAGGTACCCACCTCAAGAGAAAGTTTCCCTGGGAACCAAAAAGGCAATAAACATGGCCCTGGCTTCTCCAAGAATTCCATTCCAAAGTATCCCTTGAAAAGATGCCCAGGTGGGCATATGTGAGGCTGCCCTTTATGGGGGGGGGCACTGTCCAGGTCCTATCCATAGTCAGAAGTCTATAATGAGAAAGACAAACGCGGTCAATTCCAACCATAACCCTACATGGCCGGGCAGGAAAACACGCATCAGGAGCCCGATTTGGCGCCAAATGTTTATCATTTATAAGGAGGCTCTTCACTCCCGTCAAGTTGCTCGTAAAGAATAAAACGATACTAGCCTCCTCCGGTAAACATTCCTGGTTCCCTGTTTCTTGTTACCAGTTTCCAGTTTTATATCGTGACTTGTCGACAATCCTGAAACACGACTTACGACTTAGCTCTTGAAACCTGTCCTATTCTACATTACCTTAACCATACCCTAGAAACTGACCGCCTCGGCTCTAGGCTAAGGATACCTCTCTCTTTTGCTTCTCAGTGTTTGACCTTGAGCTATCCCATCCTGACTACATCTTGCACTCTGATTCCCACCTGGTACCTGACCTCACTTGGCCTTGAACCGGCTAATCCAGTAATCCTCTAGATACCAGGAAGGGCTTGCATACCTCAGTAAAGAAAACAAAACACAGTAGTTCTTTTTTACGAAAACTCTATGTCTTTTGCCTGGCAGACCTCATCACAATGCAACAGCTGTGCTACCTGGTGGACCACTCAACAAAGCATTCCTACAGTGCGACCTGTCGCCACTTTGGCCTGACTCCCCCGCTGTCCCATTCTCAGGAGAGTCTGGAACTTAGCCGACAAAGGGAATCCCCTCAATCTCCATTGGCCTGCCAACACCAGGTACCTGAAACTAGGATTTGTAATAGACTTGACGGTCATAGGGGGGATGAGCCCCAGGATGACAAGCTACAAGCAATAATGTCAACACTAACCCACAAAACCAGGAAAACTAAGGATCAGAATCAGCAATCCTTTCCTAAAATATGGAAAACTATCGTAGACAAAAAAAATGGGTACCTGACAGTACTTTATAAAGTAAAAAATCAAATAAAAATGACAATGTAATTACGCCAAGTGACACTAAAAGTTCAGCCAGACCGTAAAAAATGAGAATGAACTCCGGAGCCATTGTTTGCAGAGCATTGAATATTTGAAACAGCACTACGGTCTCAAAAGTCCCACGCATTGAGGGTTACCGGATTATAACTAAAATTTTTTCATTTGTATGGTCAATATCTGCATACAACGTACCATGTAAGCTGCAGTACACTACACAAGAGCAAAAACAGAGGTCTAATGAACAGGCCGGTCGCATGTTTAATCAACAACAATGCCCAACCAACGGTCCTAGAATCAGTTGCAACTGGAAGTCACCAAAAGCTTTACAGTCTCTGTGTTGCCTTAGGCTGTGAGGGAATTAGGCATCTGCCATAGTTTTTGGGGGAACCCAATGGTCTTACACACATCTCATCATGTCCTACATGTACTAAAAATTCATTAACACTCAACAACAATATCAGCGCACAACGCCCTGGCCAAATATGTAGAAGTTAATGTCCTAATTATCCACCTCGTTATACCTATAATTAAAAATTCTAATGGTAATACCCCCCAAACCCGTCACAATTAATACAGACCCGACTTACATCGGGAACCAGCTCTCTTTATAATGTCGTCGGCGCTGCGTAATCTCCACAACACAAGGTCACCTATAATTGCAATGGAGGTTAGTCACAACTGCCTGGATGGTATCTAGAGCTGAAACACTTCCACAGCGACATAGACCATGGTGGATGACTCCGATTCCCTGGATCCTCCTAGATTGTGTTTGAGTCGAGTGGATCCTAGCCACACATCTCTCTAGTGATGCTACATACCTGTAACATCACCAGGCTAATGCAGTATAGTAGAACCACCTCTTCATTTTTTGAAACACAGTTTCCATCCCTCTACCCCAGTGCACAAGCAGCTGTAATGTAGTGGCCCTAACAGGAGCTTGCACTCTATATCCAAGATCGAGCTGTTAACATAATACAGAAGATTTCTAAAATATGTTCTTTCGGGTTTAGTTGTCATAGATTTTTGTGCAGTTATTTTGCCAACGCCGTGGTTTTTCACTACAGCCGATGCGCAAGTCAATATCACATCATTCTCTTGATCCCAGCGATTTGTGTCGCTTTCCGCACTTCTCAACATCCAGAGAAGGAAAGTGCGGGTCCATTAAAGTGCGGGCACTGATACGAAACCGCCAAGACCCCAGTCACAAAATGTGCAATTGTTTATGCCATCTGCAAAAACTGAGGGGCGCATCTGCATAATCGAGCAGGCTCTATCTATGGTAATGTTGTCCACTCCGTCCCTACTGTCAAATGGCTATTTTTAGAGGCACGAGTCAGGGCTCCCAGGGGTTGTAGACCAGAGGCTTTGTGACTTGTCCGCAGCGGAAAACGCAGGCTTCATATAAGATATAAAGAAGAATATAATTTATTAAAGACTACCAATACAAAACATAAACATGCGAGTGCAATAACTACAAAACATAACACAGTGCCAAACATACCCAAACCAAACCACCCATCAGATAACGAGTAACGATACAATGCAAGCATGCACGTCAGCAGCCAGGCCGGGATCAATAACATTCGAGGCAGGTAGGTATAACAGGGGTTCATGAGCAGAGAATGGTCTGGGTGTACTCAAGCCCAGGTGCTAAAACAGGAGAAAGTTCAGCAGGAGTGTCCGAGATACAGGCAGGGTCAGCAAACGACTGGAGACATAGAACAGGACCCTGGAACAGGGATGCAAGGAACCAGATAACAGTGTCCCAGGAAAAAACACACACCAGGACAGAGACTGCAGGTCGGTCCAACCCTGTAATATACATCCTGGCATAATCAACTGCAGTGTGTTTGGCGGGCCTGCAGGGTTTTTTGTTGAGTATCTGCATTGCTGAGGAAGCACCCGCTGTGCCAGGCCCGCTGGTACTTGCAGCCCACAAGGCAGGTGAGTCCCACCATTATTACTCGGCAAGTCCATTCCCCAGACAGGCAACACTGCAGGGCACAAGCGTCTGAGCACGTGAAGTGAGTTCGACATTCTTGGGCTAGAAGGAGGTTTTGACACAAGACCAACCAATGGTCTTAGTCAAAAAAAGAGGGGATTGTAGGACTTCCATAAAGCAGCTGCCGTATTATATCATTTCAAAATTTTCAAGGTGTGTGGTCATAAGGGAAAACAGTCTAGTAGGAAACAAGAAAATGCGGCAAACACGATTCTGTGTTATGGTTTTCTTCCATGATCGTATTGCAGGAGACAGTTGGAAGGTGCTGCCTTACTTGTTTACATAACCAACCCTGTGGAATGGCTCAGTCACAAGGAAACAAGAACAATTTAACACCCCCTGAGGTCACTGTTCACATACAACAACAGATAGATATATTGACAACATCTCCCTAAATCAAAAGAGTATATGCTGTTGTGGAGTAGTAGATCATGATTTTTCAAGGTTGGGCCGGAAGCATACCCATGTAGGAATCATTCCTAACAATGGGAAAGCATCCGGCCAACCCTGAAAAATCAGTCTGACTACCACCAACAGCTTATCTCCTTTTATGGATTTAGGGAGATGTGTGATTAAAATGCTATCTGTAGATGTAGCTGAACAGTGCCTCAGGGGGTGTTAAAAATGTTCATGTTTTCCTGTGCTGGCCATTCCCAGGGTTGTTATGTAAACAATAAGTGGCACCTTCCCAATGTCTCCTGCAGATAGATCATGGAGAAAACCATACACAAATCGTTTGCGCATTTCTTGTTCCACTAACTGTTTTCTCCCCTTATGACCACACCCATGAAAATTTTGAATGAATAATACGGCCAGCTGCTTATGGAAGTCCCTACAATCCCCTCTCTTTTATGACATAAGACCATGTTTGTCTTGTGTCAAACCTCTTCTAGCCAAAATCAACTTCACTCTCAGAGGGCTAGTGCCCTGCAGTGTGCCTGTCAGGATGGACTTGCCAGTAATGGTGGGACTCACCTGCCTTGTGGGCTGCAGTACCAGGGCTGGCCAAGCGGGTGCTCCCAGCAATCACGAGACTCAACCTGCAGCCAGCCAAACACCTGCAGTTGATTATGCAGGAGTATTTAAGGGATGGCCAGACCTGCAGTCTCTGCCTTGGGGGGGGGGGTGTGTGTGTTTTTCCTGGGCCCTGTATCTGGTTCCTGCAGTCCCTGTTCCCTGGTCCTGTACTCTGTCTCATCGTTGCTGACCCTCCGCCTGAATCCGGACCTCTGCTGACTTCTCCTGTTTTAATCCCTGGCTTGTGACCCCGACCATTCTCATGCCGAGTGACCCCCGTGACTACCTACCTGCCCGATTGTTATTGACCCGGCGCCTGCCTGACGACAGCTTGCATTGTATGGTACTGTTTATCTGTGGGTGGTTTGGTTTGGTTATTTGGTTTTGCAACTGTGATTATGTTTTAGTATTGCACTGCGTTTATGTTTGTATTGTTAGTCTTTAATAACATTATATTCTTTATAACTTATCTGAAGCCTGCGTTTCCCTGCGTCAGTCACATACCTCTGGTCCACACCCTGGAGCCCTGACAGGTGCCTAAAAAGCTCATTTGACAGTAGGGACGGAGTGGACAACATTACCATACGATAGAGCTGCTTCGGTATTATATGCAGTTGCCCACCTCAGTTTTTTGCAGCTGCATAACATTGCCTTTTTGTCAGACTGGGGTCTTTGGCGTTAGTATGTGCCCGCACTTTAATGACCGCTATCCTTCTATGGAAGTTGAAGTGCGGAAAGCAAATTCCTGGATCAAAGAATGATGTGATATTGACTTGCCATCGGCTGTAGTGAAACCACGGCGCGTTGCCAAATACTGCCAAAATCATGCACAACCCCGAAGACATAATTTAGAATCTTTGTAATATGTTAACAGCTCGATCTTGAGAGGAATAGATAAAGTGAGTGCAAGCTCCTGTTAGTGGCCACTAATTCACAGCTGCTTGTGCACTGGTGGAGGTAGGGGATGGAAACACCTGTTTACAATAATAAGAGGTGGTTCTACTTACTGCATAAGCCCTTTGAATGTCTACAGTTATGAAGCATCACCTAGGGGTGTGTGTGCAGTGATCCATCCACGACAAACACATCAGGGGCTCCAGGAATCGTGAGTTCTCCAACAAGTCTAGGTCGCAGTGAAGTCTGTCAGCTCGATAACAACCAGGCAGTATGTGCTCCCTCCATGCAATTCTGGTGACCTATGTGTGTTGTTGAGATTACGCAGGGAGGACAAAAAAGAGACGGTGCCCCGATGTAGACGGGCTGTATATTAATTGTGAGGTTAGCGGTGGATGTCAGAATTATCACTTCACATCCACGCCAGTGATTGGTGCGTGACATGTGTTGAGTGTTAATGTTTTTCAGTACATGTACGGACATGTATTGAGATGTTTGTAACGGACCAAAGGGTTCCCCAAAACTATGGCAGATGCCATTCCCACAACAGCCAAGGCACACAGAGACAAAGCTTGATGGAGACATCACGGCATGCCCTAGACCGGTGAAGGGCATTGTTGTTGATAAACAAACATGCTACCGGCCTCATAGCACCTCAGTGCTCTTTGAGCTAGTACTGCAGCCAATGGTGTTATGTAAGCAGAATGACCATACAAATGAAAAAATTTAGTATAATCCGTTAACCCTAAATGCGGGAGACGAGACCAGTGTGTCTGTCTTCAAATATTCAAATGCTTGCACCAATTGGCGGCGTCCATGATCAATACGGTCTGGAGCTGAACTTTCAAGTGTCACTTGGCGTAATACATTGTGTCATTAATAAAGTACAGTCAGGAACCTAAAAACACTGTCTACGATAGGTTTACCATACCTTAGGAAGGGATTGCATCTG